AAGGGTGACTAATTCTTAAAAAGTTGAAAAATAATTGAACCTAAGATCTCTGGGTTACCAAAAAATAGACCTAACAATTAGATCATTCATGAGGGTTATTTGGAGATAAATTTGAGTCTTATTTGACTTGATATAAATATAAGTTTGCATTAGAGAATACTTTTAGGAATTTTTTACTTAAGTTTAAATTTAAAAAATGCTAAGAATTGTGGATGCTCTAACAACTCTGCTTTTGTTAATATTTTTATTCGTCACCCAAAAAAAACCTTGTTTACCCTTAATTAATTGTGATACACATTCTCCAATATATTTTTCAATAATTTTATTTATGGGTAAAGCCCACAATATATGGTCGACATATTTACTGATAAATAACATGTTTTATTTGAATTTTTTTAGGTGATTTATTTTTGCATGAAATAAAATTAAACTAGAATTTCAATCTTGATCAATTTGACAATATGCACTACTATGTTTACCAAACCTTGTAATTATTGAATCAGTGGGTCTCTTTCATTAATTTAACGACCGCAACTAATTTAATACAAGTTTTGGTTCATAAATTTAGTGTACATGAAATAATTCTTTGACAATTTTCTTTTGTTGTTAGGTGAGGTATGCTTGACACGTGTCACCACATTATAATCCCTTGTCATCCTTCCTCACACACTTTTCTCATATTTTATGACCTTCTAACACTTGCCCTTTAATCTTTGTGCAGGGAAAAGTCTATGATATTGAAAAAAAAACACATGGGTATTGTACCAAAAGTTATAAAAGTTTATAATACAATTGTACTTTTACAAAAATAGTTATCGACTATGAACTTTCAAAAATTATAACTTAAAATTTTTTATAAATAATCTTGTTCTTTATAAATTATAACTTACATCTCAAAAAATTATAATTTTTGATATAGCACCGCTTTTCTTATCGGGTACACTACACACATAGTAGTACAATTACTTGATTTTGCTTAGAGAAAGTACAAAAGTACAGCTTAAAATTTGCTGGAATGTGAAAATTTTACTCGAGTCTTTTTCTCTTTTTTTTTTTCCACATGGAAAAATCGACGTAAGTGTCAGCAAATGACAAATGGTCCATTGACCCAAGTCGACAGCATTGAGGTTGGCAAATGGAACATGGTCGGGCCGACCAACCTTCTAAACAAGTCACGTGTCTACTTATCTCTTCGACATATTCTCTTAATTGCGTAAAATACTTTCTTTTTTTTGTTAATTATATCTACAACCCAAAATCTTCTTATGCGAAGAATCAAACAACGGAAGGATTTGACAAAAAAAACGCTTCCTTCGTACTAGATTTATTTATTAATTCGTGTCTAATAAATAGTGTCATATCAAATTTGTTTTGTATATGAACCGTATTAATATATAAACGAGGCGTATCATGTATTTTTTTTTATTAATTTCTCTGATTCTTAATTTATTTATTAATCGTGTTATGTCGTATCGGGTCCACTTGTTTACGAAACATATTGCTTAAAGAAGACTTATAAGGTTTAAAGTCTGAGCCTTAAACATATGAGTAATCTTAAGTCCTATATTAGTAATCTTATTTGGTAGTTTAAGTTCATTTTGAGTTTTTTTTTTGTTAATTACTAAAACTCCCTTAATAGATTGTTTAACATTAAAAAGAGTTTTTAAATTGATTTGGAGATAATAATTGTATAACCGATGACACTTTTTATATCTTCCCAATTTTTCTAAGTGAACTTTTTTGTCAAAAAAGTCTAAAAAAGTGGATCGGCCTCCAAATTTTTCAAAAATTTGATTATAACCCATTTAAGGCCCATCAAACCAATCAAGATCCATTAGGATCTACCAGTAAACCATCGGGCCACAATTTTTTATCCTTGACCCACCATGACTCATTTACAATCTCCATATAAGTAAAGTTTGCATTATCAATTTTTGTACTGTTATACAACTTAAATACAATCTACAAAGTTATAACTCAAATACAATGGGACCCATCATCCAAAAAAATAGACGATTTTTATTTAGGTTGCAATTTTATAAATTACATTTAAATTATGTAACATTTTCCACCTTCTCGAAAGATATTGTCATACCACTTTGACCCGTTAATCACAACTCCCTCTTAGTTGTAGATGAACATGTTGGGGTCAATGGAAGCCCCACGAATGGGCAAATTAAGTAGGGTGGGGTGGTTACCTCAAATTGAGGAAATCAAGAGGGACCATCTTCAATCAATTTAGCTGGAAAAATGATCATCTTCAATCCATTTAAGTGAAGGAAAAGGAAAAGGAAAAGGCAAAGGAGGAAAAGGAAAAGGAAAAAGGTTGCCTTTGAAATTTAGCTTTCCACCATGTCCCATTCATTATACTAACTGGCCTTGTCAGGGACAGATAATAAAATTTATTGTAGAGATACTGAAATCATACAATGACAAATAATAGGTACAAATAACAGTTTTATAGAATTTGAAAATATTCACGGACAATGATAATATCGGAATTTTTTGATAATTATTTTTATTGGGGAAAAAAATGGCTATCGCTTAGGGATGACGACTTTTGACCCTATAAGTTAATGCAAGCCCGATAGGAAAACGACTTATTAATCTTTCTTATTCTCGTTATTCATGAATTCTTAAAGAATTAATTATATTTTCATTTTTTCCGTACCATCTAGATCAAGTATATTCTTAATTGATGAAGAGTCAAAGGGTTGTGGGCCTTGATGGGTTAGGCAAGGGAGTTTTGGTCCCTCTAGGTTCATGGGTTTTGCGTATTGATATGAACAATACACAATTAATAAGTATATTGGATTAAAATTGATTAGTACTTGACACAAGTTCAAAATGATACAACTTAAATCTGTAATGCGATGATTCGATTGACACGGCCATACATCCATCATATATATGTCTTTATGTCCAAAGACAGCAACACTAGGACTTCGTATTGACAATAACATGTGCATAGGGGATTCACCTTGAATATAATGCCTATCTTTAACTTCAATTTTACTTCTAGTTTAGGGGAACTATAATTCTAAGCAACTCATGCTTGCCTTTTATTCTTTCATCACAACTTAAGCATCTTATGCTTTCTTAAACTCGTGCGAGTCTTTCTCACTTATCCAAGGATTTCAATCCATTTGCAAATCTTAAATTTGGGATGCATAGTATTTTTCGTATTTCAGATAGCAAACAATGAAACATAAGTCGATAAAACTTTTAAAAAGAGAAAAATGAAGCACCTTAATGACTCCGAAGAGAATTTTGAAAGCTTTTTCCTTCATGGTGACAAAGTGTGCTAAGTTCCATGGAGCTAACTCAAATAATAATAGTTTTGTAGTTAATACATTGAAATTCCAAGTTTGATTATTATAAAGATTTTTTGGTCGACCCAATGCGCATTATGTAGCAATTGCGAGCCTAAAAAATACATGGTTTAATGGGTTCTCGATCATAAGATAAAAAAAACAAACAAATGGGCTCAAAAATAGTGTGTTAGGCAGGAGACAAAAGACTCGCACGAGGAAATACTGTATTTTCTAGCCCAACAAGAGAAAATATTGTATTTACTTCTCTTATGCTTGATTTTCCTTTTCTTCTCTTATCCCCCTATACCATATGTAACTTAATCACGTACAATTTTAAGAAAAGATAAAGAAACACCACTTAAGCAAAACAAAAGGAGAAAACTTGGAATTTGATCCATTTAGTTACACTTTTTTTTTTTCAACACAGTACGTCATCCGCCCTAAATTCAAGTGATCCACCATATATAAAAGTGAGTCTCTCGCTAAAATACAAAAAATAATCTAAATTTATTAGAGGAAATTAATTTTTTCCATAAACCGTTAATATTTTCTTTATGACCAGAAGGTACTAGACGCATGACGGAAAACAATGGGAGAAAAAAGGGTGGATCATTTGTCGATTTTGTGATAAAAATATTATTTCTGTAGAATGGGATATAGATTAACCGATATAAAAGCCATTTCTATCAATCTACGATTATTGATGCAACAGTGACCTAGAGACCATAACGATTCCAAACTTCACTTCAATAATCTTGTATCCATGCTGCCTAAGATGTTTGGGAATGGGGGTTGAAGCAGATGAGTAGAGTCCCAAAGATGGGCTTTCCCTAGTCCCATATGTACCCCAGTGACGGGGGAACTCACTGAGCCTTAGCCAGAGGGATTCATCATGTTAGGAAACAGGTCACTTGAGCTTTGCCAGATAGATCCCAAAGACACTGCATGTGCTTACACTTTTGAACACCTCTTTTCTGACTACATGCAGTGTGTTGGGTGTCTCCATTTACATTGCCCCAGTTGACAATCACAATAGTAAGATTGATACCAAAGTTTTAGATATCGGGTTGGGTCATGGATCCGAATTGGGGAGCTTATTGTGGGTTGACCCAAATAAATAATGCCAAAAGATACGTCCTTTTGGACCTATTGTTTACCTATATAAACTCCTCTATAACATAACAGTCATTACTGACAAACTGACAATTGACATGATATACAGAATATTTCTTAGCCTCTCCCTCACTTTGCCTAGAAACATAACTTTCCTTTGAGAAGGTTTTTTTGTGCTGTGAAAAACTCGTTGATTCTTTGTATAACAATGTCGTATCACCATGGCTTAAAAAAAGAGGCATTGATAATAAATTTCTAAAGTCCGTGAAACATTCTTTAAAATTGTGGGATTAAGGGAAAAAGATAGGACCCTGACTTAGCTGCATCCCTACCTTTGCATCCGAGAGTGAAATCACTTACCATGTATTCAAATGAGATGTATTTATGTACAAACACGCATTCAAGTGGAAACCTAATTTGTACAAATAAATCCCTCATTTGGTGAAATATCAACTCAGTGGCATAACAAAAAGCCATAAGAACAGAAGACATTCTTCCCACGGCACCATTAGATTCATCAATAAATCAGTTTAAGAGCCACTTCTCATATACATAACTTAAAAAGCAGCATACCTCCCAACTTTAGATTATTAATGAATGGTAAAGAGAATTCTTTAACACAAGATGTAAGTTTTTGGAATACAAAACAATGAAGAATAGCCTATAGCTGCAAGTGGTCTATGATTTATCAACTAAAACAAAATAGTAAAGGTGAGGAGAACCAACAAAATATCACTTAATACTACAAAATGAAACTGATTCTCCATTGCTCTTAGGATATGATTCTTAAACGCTAAGAGCACGAGACAACATAAATAGGGGCGTGTGGGTCAGGGGACAAGGAGGCTCTGCTTCTCCTATTCTGAATCCCTGAAGCTTTCACTTGTTAGCCACAACTTCTTCTGGATGACAAACACAAGCTCATCCCCATCCTGGTCCGTATCTGAAGTTGAATCTGCTGTTGCCACTGCTTCCCAGTGCAACGCAGGTAAATACTTCTTCACAAACTCGATAACAGGTTGTTTGTCCCGAATGATGACAAAACCAGTAGGCCTGAGCATGCGATCCATCTCTATCAGTAGATCCTCTGCACTGCAGCCTTTCTTCTCAATATCAGAAAATACGGTCCAGGCATGGAGTAGATCATATGTCCTGGGGTATGTTGAATAGGCTTCACACCTGTGTGAATCACCAAGTGAATCATAATAAAATGCAACTACATTTGGACTTCAAAACCGAGTTCCAGTGAAACAAAAATGCTCCACCCTACAGGTTAGGTGATCAGAAAAGCTGTTGACAACAGCAAAAAATCATTGGCCACTTAATGAATGTCAAATAGGTTCTACTAAGTAGAAACAATTATCACAAGATTAGTAAGGCATAAGAAAAATGCATCATTAACCACCACTTGGCATTCTTTGGGTAGGTTTATCAGTTTCTCATTACCTGAAGAAATACTTTCAACATACAAAACACATCACAGGCACGAGCAATATGCAGCTCCCTCCATCCCTAGGATTAGTTCTGCAAGGTAGGCCTAACTCAAACAATCCAAACCCAGCCCAGAATCTGTACAGAGGCTTAGCCAGATTTTCTTTAAACTCATGCAAGTCCCTGGATTACAATCCTCCAGCAAATTTGATTTGGGTTGGCTTTTGGGCTGCAGACATAGGCAGCAAACCCAAGGGCTTGAGCAACCAAAGCCCGGGACCCAATATATTTAAGACATGTAGGCATAAAGTACACAGAAACTTCATGTGGGATAGTGCGAACACCAAGTTTATTGTTGGTTAGTCCCGAAGCATGTACAAAATAAAGCTTTCTATTCTCTCCTCTCTATATAAACATTTTCCAAGCCAAGTAATGGGCCTCCAGCAGTGGGTTAGATTGTGCAGTGGCCCACTTTACACATCATTTAAATTGAAATTCACGGAAACTAGGTATTCTGAGAAACCCAAACAAAAAATGGTTGAGCTCAGTCAGAGAAACCTCAATTTGAGGTTGGGTTGGTCTGGGATTGGCACGAGCTCGGCTTAGGCCTGGGTGCACCTAGCCTTACCCAATCGACCTTAAAAGTCCTACCTGGGATGCAAACAACAAAAAGAAGCTATTGTACGAACACCAGATACCAGAGTTTGGGGACAAAAAATTATGTAAAGATCCATAACAAGCATGATACACTTCTCAACAAGTTGACTTTGCATACCAATTGTGAACAGTGCCAATCAGGCCTCTATCGTAAATCAACTTGAGAGTGTTGGGTCCATCTTCAGGGACAACATTCATCACCCAAACGTCCTTTTCCCTCAGTGCAGCTCCAAATGACCCCAAATTCGCCTTCATGTCCATCAAATTCCTCAGAGTATCTAGTTGAATTTTTGGACTCAGGAGATTCCAGTAATTCTCAACCCTCCTCCGCCAAAGTTCCTGTGCATATACCAGGAATGCTAAGCCCACATTTGTCTTTTGCTGTTCCATCATTGAACATGCAAATGCACAGGCAAACAACATGAATGTACTAATGCTTCAGATTACCGTGTCCTTTTCAAACATTTCGTTTGAATAGCCAAAATCAGCAAGACGGGGAGGAGGAGCAGTTGATCGAGTCGGCCAAGGCGCCAGTCCACTTCCTCTTGTTCTGTGGTCATCTGATAAAGAGGCGAAAAAAGTTAGGTGTATTATTCAAGCCCAAAGCCTCATTCTTTCAATTGATGACCTAATAGAAGGGCATCAATATTGTAGACTGATCTGAAGAATTCAGAACTTACAAATCATGGCTTTTATCAAAAGGACACAAGACATACATGAATACATGCCACAAAATCCAAAAAGTATAATACTCAGGTTCGATAGAACCTAACAGGATAAAAAGAAAAACTTTGGGAACCAAATTTGGCACTAATACAAAGAAGATGTCAAAGTGCGGAACCTATTACGTAGCTTCATGGCTGCTGTGATGATGTCAAAGATGACCATCTACCCCATAAGATTATTGGCAAGTGGATGTGACATTGAATTTAAATCTAGCTTTAATGTGGTTATTTTAATGATATATGCAAAACATTCGTTGTAGATATTAGCTTCCAAAATCATCACATTTTTTTGGAACTTTGCCTCCAATCCAGTTCCTTTTCTTTTAGACAAATACAATCGGACTTCCACATTCAAGTTTGAAAATTGAGGATGATAGAAGAGCTAGCATAAAATAGTCGAGGACGTCAGTTTAACAACAGATTCAAGGACATAACAAACAAACAAACCAATACATCCTTCTTTGGCCATTTTATCTATTCAGAAAGGGAACTGTACTCACTATATTTTTTCAGTGTCTACACGACTTTATTTTGTGAGTTCCAAAAAAATCAATTATAGAATCTAATAAGACCTGAAAACTATGTATAAAACTAAATGAGTCAACATCCAGCAAACAAGAATGCCATTGACCAAAATGAAATAAAGAATTTCTAGAAGGGAAAAACAGAAAAGGGGGAAGCCCCAAGCCCACTACCCACACATCTGCATAGCTTGACAGATGAATGGTTATGACCAGCGAAAATGTTTATAGGACAACTTACAATTCGACAAATAGCGGGTGAGATATTATCCCAAACCTGGATGGCCCATATGCCTATTGAGTACAGTAGATAAAAATGTTACATCAAATCGCTGTAAATAGTGATTCGTCACATTCAATTTTCTCAGGACTGTCCCTTGAATGTTGTTTACAAGAAAATCATCTTTAGCAAGTTAGATCTGTAAAAAAAAATTCTACAAAGATGTGATTTGTCTATTATCTCATTCCTATTTTAGGAATCATAAATAAAGTAACTGGCAATAAGATATTTGATTTTTAATCAAGTCTTTACCCCCTCTTCCTCCAAATCACTCCCCCCCCAAAAAAAAAAAAAATACAAATGTACAAGCATATGATGTAAACAATGACTTTAGTTAATGGAAGACATAAACCATGACTTAAACAGTAAAAACATAAGATACTTACGATCAGAGTAACGAGTGATGCAAGCTTCCATTGGCACACCCCACACTGCATCTGGATTATCATCAGACCGGCAGAGAGGAGGTTGAGTACCAGGCTCCCTTTCCATGTAACAATCGTTTGTTAGAGGTTTGACCCAAATAACAGTTTGGTTCATTTTTGCAGCAATTTTCCAACACATGCGCTCCACAAGTGCACTCATTGCTCTCCATATTCTAAGATCTTCTTCATCCTGTGCATATGCTTCAGGAGATGAGTATGCAAAATAGCCTCCTGGTCTAAGCAACCTGTCTAACTCAAGTAGAAGGATCCCATCCCTCTGAAGCCAATCTATCCGACAACGAGAACAGTGAGCAAGTTCAAAAGACCTGCTTGGGTAAGGAAGCCTCTTTGTCCCCAGAACCCCAAGATATGCTGGAATTCCTCTCTCTAGGGCAAATTGGATCTGATTCTGGTGGACATCATTAGGCGCTAAGGACATTGCAATTATATTGGATGAAAGAAGATAAGCTCCAAAACTTGCAACCCCGCAACCAACATCAAGAACTGTTCGCAATCTTCCCTCATTATTCAAATTACTATTTGTGAAGTTGAGCATCTGCCAACAAAAAACCACAGGTACTATTATTAAGATGCATTAAATACAAATATCATGGGAAAAAATATCATTCGAACTAATGATCCTAGGTATTGTATTGAAAAAGATATTCAACAATTAGAAGTTACACTTTTGTTGCCACTTATTTTATGCGTCAGGGCTACGAGTCTTACATTAGCAAGTGATGCAATGTACTTATCAGCTCCATAATGGAAATGAGTGCCTCCCCCTGGAAATATTATCTTTTCACCTCTTTCAACCATCCAATTCTGGTCAGACTTCTCGTGTGCAAGGTGAGTATGAGGTATGTTTGCTTTCCACACTTCATCCCTACTCTTTGGCCACTTGATGGGGACCTGTCACAGCAGAGCAGCCAACAAAAGCTTAAAAGTTAATAAAATCATGCAAAAAAATATTTTTCAACATCAGTTCTAAAATTGTGGCCGCATATTCTCACCTTATACCCTGATGGGGGTGGAATCAAGCAATTATACCGTCTTTCAGGGATAGGGCAGTGCCTTTCATAGTGCTCCATCAAAGACAGATCCAGCTTCAGTCTCATTTGGTATATAAGATGCCTGTCTAGGCAGGGAATTAACTCTGAGTGTCGATCATCACAAACCTTCAAAATTGAAGCAAAGCATCAAATATGGTAGCTAAATCATATCAAAAACATGAAACATAAGAACAGAGTACGGAGTTATTTTTTCCCTGGGAAAGAAGAGGAAAGGGGGTGGAATGGTGCTGAAATCCCGCTAAGCTATAGAGAACTTACAGGGAAGCTCTTTGGTGTTATACCATAATCTCCGTCTTCCAGCCCAAACTTGATTGAAGATTCATCTTGCTTGTTGCCAATATCAGTCTCTTCATCCCCACCCAAATAAGATGATCCAAGTTTCCTCAAAGAACGGCTGCCATACTCTATAGCCGACTCTCCGCTGTTCTTAGAGCCAAAATACACATATAGAAAAACAAGAAAAACTGCCACAACACCTACAAAAGTGAGCAAGCGGTTCTTCTGCAATCCATCTGATCTTCCCCTCATATTTTACGTTATCTGTGCAACAGTTGATGATATCCCACCAGAACTATGTCATGCCAAAATTCACCACCAAAAATAAGCTCTTATCTTGTCTCTTGAAGGCTCAATTCCTAGAGATGCTGCCACAATTCCCTAAAGTCTATGCAATTCAAATACAGATTAGGTAAATAAACATAACAGTCTGTGAAGTCAAATCAATAACCAATCAGCATATTTTACAAGCATATCAAGCTTCAAAAGCAGTTACCATGATAGTAGTTGCACAATACTCAGGACCGACAACAAAGTCTTGAAACATTTTACTAAGAACTTAAGCCCTTACATTCCCCATGATGCAATATTTAAGTCAATGAAATACATCATTCTTTTTAATTTATGATCTGACTAAATTATAGGGCAAATGGTAGACTATTTTTATAATAGGACAATAATTTAGTATTAAGTTTGACAGCAACAAGATAGAACAACGTACAGAGCCAGAAACAACCTACTCCAACTGCAGATTGACATATCTGATTTAGTGGAGCATCGTTTGTTACTAAGATTGCACTCAACTAATTGCCAACTATGAAATGAGATTGATAATAAAAAGTGCTTTGTGTCATGTCAAAAAAGAGTGAACTTTCCCTTTTCTTTTTTCTTAATCCTTGGGTGGAAGAAAAGATTAACCACAATGAAAAATTAAAAAATTGATGATCAAGCCATAAGATAGATCCGCTTCTCCAAGTGGGCTTTTATGGTCTGCATGGTGGCAGAAAAAAAAAATAGGAGCAGAAGAGACAATATGGAAACCTAGAAGGCAAATTCAATTTTCTTGATTTTGAAATGAAAAAAAAAACTTAATTTTCTTGATTTTCCCTAGTTCTCTCAGAATCCAAAGACAGGGTTAGTAAAATCAACCACCCTAAAATTAGAAAGACAATTCTAATTTCAAATCTCTAAAGCTTTTAGAGTTTAAATCTCAAAAGCTGACATCCAAACAAAGAAAAAGCTCAATTAAATTGTCAATCTTACAGCTATAGACCGTTCAGCCAGGGATGTGTAACCCATCGAAATCCAAACAATGACATAATTTCAAGTAACTGAATTTTACTTCTTCTTAAAATTTTCCCATTTTCACAAATTATAGGGAAAATGTTAGGATACCATAAATGATAACTGTACCAACCAAAGATTTTACGCCAAGAGCACTAGCAAAAATAGAAAATATATCTTTGCTATCAAAATTAATAATTCCAAAATTATTGAGAATTAGCAAACAATTTTGGTAAAAAAAAAAAAAAAAAAAAACACCCCACACAACCGGTGTGATAACAGTGGCTGGTAGTACAGTAGAATGTTTGATAGCACACTAATCCAAAATTTTCATTGTAACTTGTCAGATAGTACCGACAAGGAGTAAAATAATGCAGTGAACCAAAGTCAAATGACTAATGACACAAATAATTGATTGAAAGCATAGGGATGAAAGAGACCGCTTGAGCCAATTCACCGACATTCAAGCAAATAAAGTGAAAACCGTATAATTACAACAAATTAAAAGCAAAAAATAAATCAGAATCGAATTTCCAATCCATTTGATTTTTTATTCAGCAAAATTTTCAACTCAAAATTGGAAAGAGAATCAATACAGAATGTTTTGAATGAACTGAACTTAGTCATAAAGAAAACGATAGCTTTTCAACTAAACGTACAGCAACACGCAGATCCAGACCAAACAATGCAATTACAACCATAAACTTTGCATTAATTATCAAACAGAATCAACAAATATAAAGCATTGAGCATCGGAATCATATATATATAACTCTCAGGAACAACAAATGGGACCAAGATCCATCGGAATTACGAAAGTACAGGAACAAAACTTACTGTATTTGAATCGTGATGTGCGTAGATCTGAGTTGGAAATCTAAAATTGATTGCGATCTAGGGAATCAAATGGGAAGATGTGGACGGTCGTGTGAACTTAAAAAGAGAACCCTAGATTTACACGGATTACAATGGGGTGTGTGTGTGTGTTGTGTGTGTTTGAGAGAGAGTGAGAGAGAGAGTGAGAGAGAGAGAGAGAGAGAGAGAGAGAGAGAGAGAGAGAGAGAGAGAGAGAGGAGAGAGAGGAGGAGGAGGAGGAGGAGGAGGAAATGGACGAAGTAGAGTGTTCTATTAATGCAGAGAGATAATGAAGAGACGGAGCCAAGCTAGAGCTCCGGAGTTTTACTATTAGATTTTTTCCAATGAGAAAGAGAGAGAGAGAGTAGTCTGCTTGCGTGAGTTGTGGTCGTTACTTAAAAGATCCATGGTTTGTTACTGTCAATAAATAAAGGGCGAATTGTACTTTATACCCCCAAAGAATTTAGAAATTTTTATTGTGCACTTTTAAATATTAATTTCTCATATTATACCATTAATATTTTAAAATTATTGTAGTATTTCCTTTAATTATTTTTATTGCTTATTTCACCAATGTTAATAAGATGGTTCTTAGCAGAATAAATAACAAAAGCTAAAAAAAAAAGTTACATTACAATATTTTTAATATATGAAGGGTGTAATATAAAAAAGTTAATCTTTAATAATACAAATTAAAATTTTTTAAATCTTTTAGGGTATAAAGTATAATTCTTCCATAAAGTAAATGAATTTTTTTTGGGGTTTAATTATACTAACAATCTGCATGACATGTCATGATTTTTTTGAAATTATACTAAGTTCCCACTATATTTGGTTCAATTTTGGTGTTGCACTTGAACCAATGTAAAATATAGAGTTTCTTTTTTTTTTTTTCTCCCCCTCCTCGCTTGACCATCTCCAACCTATATCATCTCCCTGTCAAGCCACCATCCACCGACCACTCCCTCATTTGGGCAAGGTGGATTTCGGTGTTCAAATTGGACAAATTGCAGTTTGGGTCGTGAATTTACAATCAAAAGTGAGAGGTGTGAGGAAGTAGGTGTTGATGTGAGTTCGATTGTTAGGATGATACAACGTTAGAAAAGGGAGTGAGAGCAAAAATGCTAACGTGTAGGAGAGAGATTGAATTGGGTGATACATGGTGAAAATAGTGACTTGAGGATTTTATTTTTTTGATGAGATTTGCACCGATTTTGCTGCTTATGTCGTTAAAAATCACCCCACCCCATACTTGAAGGGAATTGTAGGGCTTAATCTAGGTGATTTTTAATTTTTCACTATCTTTTACGAAAATGAAAGTTTGGAAAAGAGTCATTGCTGTCAACAACTTTCGTCCGTCAACCTAACCATCCACTAGCGGAGTGTACCACATCAAATATAATCCAAAATAAAATAGAGCGGAATATAGTTTAGAAAACTATAAGCACATATTTTATAATTATTAAAAACTATAAGGATGTCACTATAATTTATTCATTTTTGTTTTGTTACATTCAATAAATGTATATGGATTCCCCGATTTTTGTGTGCCATGCAAATGGCTTATTGCTTTTCTTTTTTGCTAAATATAAATGGTTAATTGCGTTAGAGATTCTCAAAGTGTGGAGTTTGTCTTATTTTGGTCTTTAATATTTAAATTATATCATTTTGGTCCCTAAAGTATTGAATATGTTTGTATATGGGTTTTTCAAGCAGACAACGTTCAAATTACTACGATTTTTTATCATAAATTTATCACACAAAATAATTTTAATAACTCTTAAACAAAATATGGATAGTTCTTAACAAAAAAGTGTAATATGGGTAACTTTTGACCAGAATTTAGATCAAAATTGTATAATTTGGATAGCTATTTAACCAATATTTGAGGAGAAATTTGGTCAAGAATTATTCAAATTATTTTTGTGTTCATATTTAAGTATCACGTGACAAGTTTATAATAAAAAAATCGTTAATAATTTAGATATTATCTGCTTGAGGGACCATATATAAACATATTTAATATTTCAGGGACCAAAATGATGCAATTGAAACATTATGGACTAAAATAAGACCAAACTCATACTTTAAAAACCTCCGATACAATTAACCCAAATATAAAATGAGATTAAAGAGAGAAAAGTACAATAATATAACCGAGCACCAATACTCGATACACGCTCGAAGGTCACATAAGATAATTCTCAACTTAATCTATAATAAACAAGTATATAGAAGAAACTACACCTATGATCTAGAAAACTATATACGAAAAATAGAGACACGCCCGCACTAATTTGCTTCCCCTAACCACATTTGCATCTTCTAGAATAATTGCATATTGTTTATATCAACGAAATTTAGGCATTTTTTTTTTACCCCTTTCCTTATGTTTCTAGATGTAATTTGGTTTATTTATGGGGTATACCTTTTGTATACGAATACTTTTGATTAATAAAAATCATCTTACTTATCGGAAAAAAGAGAGTTTTAAAATGATTTACGATTTCAATTTAACAAAAAAACATCAATTTTTGGCCTGTCACTGCTCAAATACCTAATAACCTCTGCATTTTTTTTGGGTCAAAATTACAAGATGTCACTGAAATTCATTCTATTTACATTTATGACAACAAGTATAAATGTCTATAGTTGAGATCATCGCCTAGGAGAATAGTATTAACGTAAAATACTTGTTTTCATCATAATTATTATAATTATAAATGTCCGGAAAGAGAATATTTTAGTCATCATAGTTATTTATGTATTCATAATTTGTGACTATTGAATGGGAAGAGTAGTAATGACACTTGTAGAAAATAATGTTTGGGAGAAGAACAATATTATAGAGACCTATTTAAGGACTTAATTTAATATAGTTATTAAATTAATTGTGAGTTCTAATGTTATATGAAGTATAATTTTAATCCAACAACTGTAATTAATCAGGTTTTAAGATTAAATTTTCAAATTAGGTTCAATTAGTATTTCTTGAAAGAGAATATATTTACTCATCATAATTATTTATGTAGTCATTAAGAAAAGACTACAATACCGAAAAAAATATTGGTACTGTATCTCTAATTTTATCATTTTTGTTGGTGTTTTTATAATTTTTGTGAGTGTTTCTACAAAAAAAAATGTACAATTTTTTATTATTACTAGTAATGCAACGCACGTAAATAAATTTAAATAATATTGTTTTATTAAAAAATATGAATTATATGTATAATTAAATTAAATAATAAATTTGAATTTAAATAATTAATATATTTTAATTATTACTAATTTAAATTATTAATTTATTCAATAAACTTTGAGTGCTTAATGTATCATTTAATTAAGTATCTCTCCGGCTTTTTTAAGCATTTGACATTAATTATATTATAAAATCATTAATTTTTATTTTTAAAAATAGATTGATTAGATCATTCATAATGCTATTTATATTATTGCATACCAAAAAAATAAAATATAATATATATTTGACTATGTAATTCAATATGATAACTACATTTATGTAATAATTTAACATATATATATGATTTTATTTCTTCACATAGATTTAGAAAATTGTATGTAATTGTACTACTAATAAATGAGTTCAAAAAATATAAAAGTCCTTATAAAAGAGTCCAAAACAAATTAAAAGTCAAATATGAGTAAAAAATAAAAATTAGATAAAAGTATATATATTGGTGGATATAATTGATTTTATTATAATAATTAGGATTAAAATAAAAAATCAAAAAATTTTCACATATGCTGACAGATATAAATAGTATAAATTATGATAATTATTTTTATAGTAACTTAAAATCAATCCTAAAATATTATGATCGATCGCAAAGTACCACCAAAGTGATTTTGTATAGAGTAGACAACTCTATTAATAACTTGTTACCATTGAATGCAAATACTCCCTCCGTTCCTAAAAATATGTCGTTTTACACAATTTTTTTTGTTCCATAATATCTGTCGTTTAATGAAACCAAAACATAATTAATATTTTTTCTTTCAAATTTACCCTTAACTTTTCAATGCAATAGATTTGGTGGAGGTTAAGTGTTTTTCATATTCTTTTCCTTCTCAATACGTATTGAATAAGAGTATTTTAGTCTTGTGAAATTATTTTTTACTCATATTAGAATTATTTAATAGCTTCATTAATTATTGTGCAAAAATTTTAAACGACAGACATTTAGAAACGGAGGGAATAATAGTTATGAGCCGACTCTCCATAGGAATATTAATCTAACGGCAGATATGTAAATGCTGACTTTTATAGAGCAAATAGTTCGAAGCAATGATGACATTAAACGATGAAAAGGAAAGGCAGGGGAAATGGTTGTCAAGCTTGGTAATCGCCAGCTAAAGAAGGGTTAACCACATGGTCGGCCAATGTGACCTCTGTCCCAATTGCAATGGCCGGGTGTCTTTGATTTAGATATTAAGAGATTAAGATATGAATGGACGTTTATTTAGCAATTATTTAATATTAAGTTTGAATCATATATTATGGTGTGCTATTAATGATTTTGTTAGTACGAGACTAATTTTGCATTGTCATCTTATATCATATACTTGATATGAATTAGGATAAATTACACTCCTACCTCATGACATTTGGTTTTATTATACGAATACCTTTTTATATTTCAAAACTAATACAGAGTGAGAACCTCATCCTTTTTGTATGACATATGTTAACTATTTCATTAAAAAGATTTTTTTACCCTTATATCATTGAGATTAACCATCTCATTGAGCAAATTCTAACCCATAATCAAATTTATCTTAAAATTTAATTAAAGCAAATCAATCTACTAATTAAGGTAATTTATCTCCAATTTTTTTTAAATTATAGTTAATTTCATTCATTAATTTAAATTTGGGCCCCGAATTCAAATCTAATTTATACACAAAATTAATTAGTTTTATCACACTAATTAACTTTGGATTTGCCCCCCAAATCTACCATTAACACCAACACCATACACCACCAATTGTCACCTCCATCACTAGTGAAATCAACCACACATATCCACCCAATTTGCCCCCAAATCCACGACACAAACCCACCAAACAATCAATCTCCATCATCACAATCCACCTTTTCGATGAAATCCATCAAGCACCGCGAGTCCACAACCCAACAAACCATCATGCAAC